TACAAGCTTGCCTTCTACTTCAAGAATGCCAATCCGGAAGATGTGACAGTGTCGTTGAAGGGTTGGTATTGTGGAAGGGGCCTAGGAGTAGTTTTTTTTATTTTGTTGATGTTATTGTTAGTAGTAGAGGTAGTTGTTATGATAGTAGGAATTGTAGTAGTAGTTGTAATAGTAACAAAATTTCATTAGTTAGACCTTACAGTTCTCCATGCATTTATGGTTAATATGTTCTGAATTTAGAAACTTGGGATCCCATCACATTTTTTAACATGGTTATTATTTTATTTACATTCATGAATACATGTTTACCAATTTTTACATAGTTTTCAGTGTTGTAATGAAATATAGACAATGCAAAGAATTTTTAAATGATTTAATGTTTTCAAAACTGAATATGGCTCTATATGGGAATATATCAAAGGCATATGGTTATAGCATAGAAAATGTAAATGAAATCTTCATCAGTATTTCCTTTATTTATACAGCATAGGATTTAAATCTTTCCTTTGCTTATATAGACTAGGATATCAATATTTGCCAATTATCCAAACCTAACTACCACTGCAATCCCTTTCAGACCACACCCTGACAGTATCAGCCAAGATCGAGGAAACGACCGAGTTCTCCCGATCTTCAAAGAATTTCACTACAGAGTATGACCTACCCGAGGGCCTAAATCTCGAAGCACTAGAGTCAAGTTTGTCGGACGATGGCGTATTAACCATCGAGGCTCCACAATTAGTGCAAGAAGAAGCAAAAGGTCCCAAGACCATTCCTATTCAAAGGGAATGATCTGTACTGTAAATATTATCATGGATGTATAGTTTTGAAAAAAAATGGAAAATGTGAAATAGTTGTTTTAAATCATGCCTAGAAATGGGATTTGTTATATATGTTAATATACATGTAGGAAAAAATATACTGTAGTAGATGGCTATATATAGACATTACAATATATTTCTGTTAAATGATTAAATCATTTATATTCTAGAAAATTTAATATAATTACTATTACATTATCATGTAATTTTTTTTTTATATCATATGGCTGTGTTTTATCTTCATAACTTGATTATATTTTTTGAAATAGATTAAAGACAAAAGAGAAGAAGTGTTTCATTTTTTCTCCAATTTCTTTTATAAATTTGTTAGTAGAAAAGTTTATGAAATATCTAATATACCAAATTAAGAGTAAGTCATGCTGCAAATTAAAAAAAAAGTAATTTCAATTTTTTTCATTATAGATTTTATTTTCTCATTATCGTTGCTGTTATTATATACAGGATAATGCTATTGATACAAGCAACAGTAAAAAGGAAAATCACACAGGGGCAAACGTTACAAAATCACAAGTTCACAAACCAAGTGGGCCAAGGAACTACCTGATCTGCTAACACTGCATAATCAATTTACTTACCTCCACCTCCACCTCCATCTCAACCTCCACTTCCTCCTCCACCTTCACCTCCACCACCTCCTCTTCCTCCTCCTTTTCCTCTTCCTCCTCCAACTCTACCTCCACCACCTCCTCCTCATGTTCTCTTATGAAACCAATTTTATTTTGATTTTCAGGGAGCAGAACAAAAAAATATGACCATAGTTAATTAGAGAAGGTGATCTATATAGCAAAATACAATAACAAAAATTATTGAGCAAAATACCATACAGTTTGACAAATTTTTCAAACTTTTGCCACAAGAAAGCTGAAAAAAACAATCATAGGATGTATTTCATAGATGATAAGGGAAATGAAGCATCATTAGCAAACTTTATCCCTTAAATAAATAAAGAGAGAGATTTAAAAATAACAGATGTTTTTTTCTGCAATAAAAAGTTGTAGACAATTATCTGCCATATTACAAATACCTGCATTGACTGAAATTTAAATATTGTTGAATAAAAGGTACTTTGCACATTTCCAACAATTGTCAAAAAGAGGATAATTGATTAGAAACATTTTTTCAGAATTTACTTTACCATATATGTTTTACAAAGCCTGCAGAATTACTTACAGAATCATGCCATGTGTATGACCGTAAAGCTTGGTATGAAACTCATAAAGCCCATCTTAACAGGTTGACGTAAAGCTAAATTGTCTCTATTAACCCATTGCCGCCGGGGAAAATGAACAAAAAATGGGGGAAATGTAGTACTCATTTTTTTTATTTTTGTGAAATATCTCTGTCCATAGATGGCTCTGCTAGTCCTGATTTCACCTTCCCTTGAATTGGCGGGAAAAAACGTATTTTTACTAGTGCTATAAATATAGATGGTGTTATTTTTAACAGCAAATTAGGATAACGTTAAATATTTTCGTAAATCGATGAAAAGGGTGAATGGGCGAGACAGGCAGTACTCATAATTGGCTCACTGGTGACTTAGTACAAGTGTAGCCATCTATGTGTAAAAACAATCAAACAAGTCGACTCACAATGGGCATGGCGTGTACGTACATGCCATCCCCGGCGGCAATGGATTAATTGTATAATATAAGAATTGCTAACAATATCCATGATATTTCAGATAAGAGTGCACCCTAAGATAATGTTCCATTACATCATACGTACACAATAGGGTCTAGCTTTCTTCAAGCTACTTTCCACTCTCAATTCAATGCACGTCTCAAAATTTTTCCCAAAGTTGGAAACCCTTCTGGAACTCTTAGTGTTTTTTATTCCACCTCACTGTTGGCAGCAAAATTTCAGAGGATAGAAAAATCACATATAGCAAAGTTAGCTAAATATGGTGGACAACTTTCATATTATCTTTGACCACAAAGAGTGTGGCCTTTATGTGACTTTTGTGGGGATGGAGAGTATGATTTAGTAAAGATAAGTTCTGTTACATCATATGAGTGTCTTTTAAGGTGTGGAAGTCACAGTCTGTTTCAAGGAATTGTTTAAATACTTATTCTATAAAGTATACAGCAGTGGCCATTTAACCTATCATGTACAGTGAACCTCATAATCTGAAACTACTCAGTAAAACCCCTTTCTAAAACTAAGCATTTGTACTTAAAAGTTTCTGTTTTCTCTGTATAAAAAATATGTCAGACTAAATAAGAATAATAGGCAGTATTTCCTTCTGCTTGTCTTTTTTTCCCTCCTCCTCTTCCTTATCCTTTCATGCTCATCTTCATACATAGGAAAAGAACAGAAAAAAGCAAGAGTTTTGAAAATTTATGACATGAGCTATGTCGTTTATGGCTACTCCTCTAATACAAGTGATTTACCTACTTATATAGTGAAACTTTATATAATATATGACTTATAGTTTTTCTTTTTCTTTTTTGGCTGTGCAGTTGATCAATTGCTGATGAATGGTGACAGATTAAAGTAGGATGGCAGGTTAATATGATGATTATTTGATAAACAAGAGGTAGTTGATGATGTCAACCTGTCAAATATAACTTCAGTTTGTTAATGATAATGATAATGAAAATAAGAATGATGATAATTATAACAAAGAAAAATAATAATAATGTAATAATAACAAAGAGTCATAATGTACATGATGTAGTATTATAAAGGAAGAAAAGCCAACTACAAGTGCATTCGATTTGCACGTGTTTATGTAGCTAGTTTTTGCCAAGTCTTTTATTTGTGCCCCAACAGTGATATAAACAAAAAATGGTCACCAGTCACGTAGATATTTGAATTTAGCAACTACACAATGATGAATATACTATATTGGGAACATGTTGCTGCATACAATAATTATGTTGGTGGATATATATAAATTGTACACACTCACACAGACACATGAATATGTAGATGTGTGTGTGTGTGTGTTTGTGTGTGTACATGTGTGTGTGTATGTAGGTGTGTGTGTGTGTGCATATGTGTGTGCGTCTGAGTGTATGTGTGAGTGTGCGTGTGCATGGATGGATGGATGGATGGATGTATGTATGTATGTGCGTGTGCGTGTGCGTGTGCGTGTGCGTGTGTGTGTGTGTGTGTGCGTGTGGCGTGATTTATGCATAAGTTATGTAAGAATATCATTGGGCCTCCCATTTCGAGGGACTTCCAAATACTGACCTTTTAGAATTCATATTAGCATCAGTAGTAGTATACCATGCTACTAAATTTGTTTTATGAACATGTTTCAAGATAGATAGATGGATGAATGAATGGATAGATAGATGGATGGATAGATAGATAGATGGATGGGTAGATAGATAGATAGTTGGATAGATAGATAGATGGATGGATGGATATATAGATAGATGGATAGATAGATAGTTGGATAGATAGATGGATGCATGGATAGATAGATAGATAGATGGATGGATGGATATATAGATAGATGGATAGATAGATAGATGGATAGTTGGATAGATAGATGGATGGATAGATAGATAGATGGATGGATAGATGGATGAAAGGATAGATGGATAGATAGATAGATGGAAGGATGGATGGATGGATAGAAATATAGATAGATAGATAGGAAGATAGATAGATGGATGAATGGATGAGTGGATAGATGGATTGATAGATGGATAGATTTATGGATGGATTGATAAATGCATGTATGTATGGATGAATCGATTGCATGTATGTATGTACATGCAAATACATAAAACATACGTAAGCAATTACATCTATTTATAAGCTTCTGTGTATCGGAGACAAATAATATTCTTCATCGCAAGTAGAACGTAAATTCCAAAATTTCACAAACTAGGAAAACATTGTTAGCAAAAAAGTACGGTACATTACGGACGGGTGAAGGGGTGACTGCGGTAAAGGACTGCCAAGGTCAAAATCACCAGTGTGTGACGATATAATTTTTCGTTTTCTTTTTCTCTTCTTTTGTTTATTTACGTTGCGTTCTTTATCTTCTTGGCTAGGGTTTTCATTTTGATTTTCTTTCTTTTCTTTTCTTGATTTCTTTATTTCTTGTCGTAAAGATTTTTCTTTCTTTCTTTTTTCTTTCTTTTTCTGTTAGTTTTATTCTCTCTATAAGTGTATTTGGGTCTCTCTCTCTCTCTCTTTATC